CTTAAAAGGCTTCATTTATAAGATAACTGACTGGTACATTCACATATACAAATGTTCACAGGGACTAAGTATGCTTAATTTTCAAGGACAAAATTCATTCTATTTCAGATTTGGACCCAGATGCTAAATCAAAGAAACTGTTACATTTTCAAGATGAAATCATTAAAAGGTACATATTCTTGGCTTTCATCTCAAGATATATCTAAAACTCATGTTTGTTATACCCCCCCGCAAACGAAGTTTGGGGGGGTATATAGGAATCACCTTGTCCGTCTGTCCGTCCGTCCGTCTGTCCGTCTGTCTGTGCATTCGTGTCCGGTCCATATCTTTCTTACAGAGGGACATTAGAATCTACTACTCCACATTAAGATTGCTCATGACCTAAGGGTGTGTCATGACCTTGACCCAAGGTCATTCGGGAAAGTTCAAGGTCACTGGAAGAAAAATTTCATAATTCGTGTCCGGTCCATATCTTTCATATGGATAAACTTGGTAGGTTCTCATTTCACACAAAGATTGCCCATGACCCAAGGGTGTGTCATGACCTTGAACCAAGGTCATTTGGGAAAGTTCAAGGTCACTGGAAGAAAATTTTCATAAATCATGTTTGATACATATCTTTTATAGATAAACTTGGTAGGTTCTCATTTCACACAAAGATTGCCTATGACCCAAGGGTGTGTCATGACCTTCACCCAAGGTCATTTGGGAATGTTCAAGGTCACTGGAAGAAAATTTTTTATATTCCCTGTCCGGTCCATATTTTTTTTATGGATAAACTTGGTAGGTTCTCATTTCACACAAAGATTGCCCATGACCCAAGGGTGTGTCATGACCTTGACCCAAGGTCATTCGGGGAAGTTCAAGGTCACTGGTAGAAAAATTTCATAATTTGTGTTCAGTCCATATCTTTCTTATGCATAAACTTGGTAGGTTCTCATTTCACACAAAGATTGCCCATGACCCAAGGGTGTGTCATGACCTTGACCAAAGGTCATTCGGGGAAGTTCAAGGTCACTGGTAGAAAAATTTTTATAATTCGTGTCCGGTCCATATCTTTCTTATGCATAAACTTGGTAGGTTCTCTTTTCACACAAAGATTGCCCATGACCCAAGGGTGTGTCATGACCTTGACCCAAGGTTATTTGGGGAAGTTCAAGGTCACTGGAAGAAAAATTTCATAATTTGTGTCCAGTCCATATCTTTCTTATGCATAAACTTGGTAGGTTCTCATTTCACTGAAAGATTGCCCATGACCCAAGGGTGTGTCATGACCTTGACCCAAGGTTATTTAGGGAAGTTCAAGGTCACTGGAATAAAAATTTCATAATTTGTTTTTGATACATATCTTTATTATTGAAAAACTTACATCTGAAAAACCCAGCGGGGGGTATTTTGTCCCGTTTGGACAGTTCTAGTTTTACCTACATATGGATATAAATGAACTATCATTAATTTGGATTATACAGGTAATTTTAGTTTGAATTACATTTAACTACATGTAGATATACTGATGGGGGAAAACTTGTGCTTTCTAATGTTGTTGCTTGTCATTCTATCATGGTTTTGTTATGTTTTTAGGTATGGTTTCATGCCAATCAATGTCTGCGTGTCCCAGACTCATCAACACTACTTGACAGACGAGCAGCAGCAGTATGTTCATTGTACGGGTGGCATGTTTATCCTCATAGAGAGTGGTCAGATCGTAACACCCAAAGAGAGAAAAACGACGTCCAGTAGATTCGGTAAAAAATCTGCTGGTGAGCTTCGTAAAGACTATATAGCTAGACAGAACAGCAGCTCATCAGCTGCTGAAGTCTTGACGCAAAATAAGATTGGATTCTTGTGGTCCTGGAATTTTATGTCGTCAAAAAGATGGCGATCTCCAAACACGGGAGACGAATCCTTCCAGGACAAAATGTTGGCAGATTTCCGTCAGTTCTGTTCTAATGAAAATCACAGGCTGACAGAGTTTTGGAATGATTTCAAAGTGTCTTCTTTGTAGATTATATAAATGACATTGATTGGGCATTGATGCAATATTGACAAAATAGTCACTGTTTTTGAAAGAGATACATGTGTATTACTCTTTAAATAAATTGTTACAAAGCTTATAAATGGTGTATACTGTTTATAATATGAAATGAGATTTGATGCAATTAAACATAAAGCAAATGAGAAGTTTCTTAAAATTGCTTCTACCAGTTAGGATGAAGAGGGATCAGTTTAAAAAATTTCATCTTATTTTAGATATTGTGTTTCAATTGATAATGAAAAATGAAATTGAATTTTAAAAAAACAAGTACCCATGACTTTACAGTGTACAAACAAATTCTTTTAGATGCACAGATTTGTATACTTGATTAATTGGTACAGAATGAGATAATGTTTTATTCAGAAAATTATACTTTTATTCCCCTTTTGGAGTAGATGACCCTTATTGATTTTGAGATAGCAAGGTAAAAGGTCAAGGATTTAAATTAGACATAGGAAGATATTGACTGCTCATTATCTTGAGAATCCTTTGTCTGACAAGGAACCTATATACTAACGTTAGCATATAGGTCCCTGGTCTGGCACATATAAAGCTTAGAATACTGGATCCCCCTGATGGGTAGATGACCACTTTAAATTTGAGGTGACAAGGTCAAGGGTCAAACCACTTTAGATAATGACCGATACTGTCTGTACAATATCTTAATACTTTCTTACAGACATACCAAACTTCCCTTTATAGACGTCCCTTATTTGATTTTTAAATCAAAGGTCATGGGTAAACTGAAAAAAGAAGGTAATGACCACTCCTTATCTTGCGAACTCTTTGGTTCTTGACAGATACCAAACTTAGTACATTAGTTCCCCTTGAGAAGTTGATGGCCACTGCAGATTTTGAGGTTACAAGTTCAAAAGAGCAAGAGTCGAACTTTACAAAGTACTTAGGAGGTACATTGTACATAGGAAGATTTTGGGGGGAGGGGGGTGATTGGATTATTTAATTTAAACAGTTAAGTTATCTGAGGAAAGAAAGAAAGACACATGTTTCAGTATTGAAAATGCATGTGAAGTTGCTGAATTTTTTGAAGGAAATTTAATATCACTATTATGTATAATCAACAAACATCTTTTTAAAAAGCTTCGAATGGGTCAAAAAAGTACGAAAGCCTATTAGGATTAATCTAGAGAGAAAAAAAATGTAAAAGGCGTTATAATGCGAAAAAAGGCATTATAACGCCTTTGAAAAGGCGTTATTACGCCTTTAATAAGGCATTAAAAAAGGCATTATAACGCCTTTTGAAAAGGCGTTATTACGCCTTTCCATTCTAGAAGGCGTTATTACGCCCTTTAGAAAGGCGTTATTATGCCTTTCCGAAATGCGTTATTACGCCTTTCCAAAAGGCGTTATTACGCCTTTCCAAAAGGCGTTATTACGCCTTTCCAAAAGGCATTATAACTCCTTTCCAAAAGGCGTTATTACGCCTTTTGGAAAGGCGTAATAATGCCTTTTACTTTCAATACATAACTAAACATATTTAGCCCAACCGAGGGGGGGTGTGTGTGCAGAAATCGTACCTTTGGGACATGAATTTCACAATTATATATAGGACTAATTTCTCAAAAAATAATTTAAACAGATAGCAATTAGATTTCCTGGAAAAAAGATTTTTAAATGCGCCAAATATTTTCAATGTTGAACCAACTAAGTCCTTCTTTCATACCAGACACACCTCTACCAAGGGTCATTGATTTCAATTGCTCATTATACCCATGCAAATAGTTGCCTGCTTTTTTGCAAGAAGAGGGAAAAATATCTTCAAATGACATAAATTTTGATACATGGCAAGCAAAGCTTCAAGATAAATCTGCCTATATTCTAGATCTTCACAAGTAGAGTGTTGCCTTCTCTTAATACGAATGGAAACAGTTGTCAGTGAGATGTGCAGGAATATAGAGAATTGCATAAATAAAGATGGTTTTAATTAAGTCTTTATATATTCATTAACACAAGATAACGCCTTTTCCTTTTCCTTTTCATGTAGGCAAGTAATACGAGTGCGAATGGGGTAAACCCCCTCCAAACATACACACTTTTGAGGAAAAGTCTTGCTACAGTTCAAATATTATAATTAACTATTGGTTTCTTGGTTCCTGAACATTTTGTTGCAGCATGTAAAACTATGGCAAATTATTATTGCATTTAAATAAAGTTTTACAGAGTATTTCCCCCACGAATTTGGCCAGTGGAGTGTGTGTTTGGGGGGGGGGGCTATTAAAAGCACGGGCCTGTTAAATGCAAAATAATAATTATTAAAAAAGCATAATAACTTTTTTGGAAAGGAATAATAACGCCTTTTAGAAAGGTGTAATAACGCTTTTTAGAAAGGCGTAATAACACCTATTAGAAAGGCGTAATAACGCCTTTTAGGAAGGCGTAATAACGCCTTTTGGAAAGGCGTAATAACGCCTTTTGGAAAGGCGAAATAACGCCTTTTAGAAAGGCGTAACAACGCCTTTTGGAAAGGCGTAATAACGCCTTTTAGAAAGGCGTTATAATGCCTTTCAAAAAGGCATTATAACGCCTTTTGGAATGGAAAGGCGTAAGAACGCCTTTTTTTCGCGTTATTACGCCTTTTCAAAAGGCGTTATAACGCCTTTTTAATTATTTTTCTCTCTAGATTGATCTTAATAGACTTTCGTAAAAAAGGAAACATAGGAAATTTTTTTTTAACTTTTAACTTTTGCATTGAAATGGAAGAACGTGAAAAACATCAGTTTTCAATAATTGTAAACTATAAAGTATTTAGTTATGATAAGAATATCTTGAGAGTTTGAAATGCAGGTCCAAACAGTCATATCTTTAGAAGTAATTTAACTGGAAGAGCCTTTCATATTTATAATCAATGCACTATCGACATGAACCATGAAATTAATTCGAAGTGGTCAGGAAAGTCGATGGCATTGCATTTGGGAATCATAAAGCTTCGAATAATTTATTGTACGAGTTAACAGATGTCGAAAATGACGTCATTTCCCGCAAGGTCCCCAGAAATTCTGATCAAGATGGAGAACAAGAAAATATTATGATAATGTATATTTGAGTGTATATTTCCTCTGTCATATGTATTTTAACAATTTAAGCATTTTTATATGATCATTTAAAAAAAACGAAATTTTATATTTCAATTGGAGGAAAGAGGAGTAAACCTGTAGATGAACAAGGAGCACATGTTTGTTCGAGGTCACGAAAAAATAGGGTTTGGTCGTGATAGGGGATAGTTGCTGGTAGTATGCATTTTTCTCATATTTTAATGCTCAGACTCTAGGACTTTGAGTGTTAATCGCACACAGTTTGTGCTGTTCTAAAAAAAAAAAGCTTCAACTTCGGATTTTTTTTTTTACTGATCGATGATTTAAAATGATATAATTATGCAAACTGGAACTATAATCAAGAAAATCGGAACAGAAATTTAAGAAAGCAAAACCAGCACACCAATATCTGTTCATATTCATTGATGTGTGCAGTGTTGACAAATTCAACACACGGTAAAACTAAATAACGACAGGTATTGCGCATGTCATGCAAACAACAGGTGTTTTGTTATTAAATGTTAGGTTTCCAAGAATTAATGCCATTAGTCTGATTATTAAAGAAGTTCTGGTTACTTTAATTCATTAAATTGATTATTTTAGATTAAAAGCGAAATCCAAAAAATTAGACGTGTCGAAATCCATCGGTCCTGTCAGCAAGGCCGGTAAATATTTGGATGGACCTATAACATATAAGAAAACGTCGGTCCGGATGACCGTTTGAAAAAAATTGAGCATAACGTAAATTTAATAAAGGTCAGGATCAGGATGCGTAGTTAAAGGTCTTAAAAACAGAAAAAATGGCTGCGTACGCAGCATATTGATGATAGCTAAGTAAATTTGTTATAGCAAAGTAATGAAACTTGTCATTTATGTCTATGTTAAAGACTCTCTATCCCAAGAAAGGAAACTTGACTGTTGTTAGATTGAAGGCTATTTAAAATATTAAAGGACTCCGACATTTTGGTGCTGTTATTCACATGACTTTATCAGCATCAAAATAAGGTACAAGTATCTGGTCTGACAAAAGTTTGACTGGTCTGACAGAACATTCGACTTTGTCAGACCAAATATCTGACAGTGATTAAAAAATTTTGACAAGTCTGAAAAATTAAAAAAGAAAATGCCTTTGTAATTTTTTTGAAATATCTATGTCCCTGTGACAAAAGTGGACTAAACAAAAATGAGTTATTTCCTACATCAAATTATAATTTTCCTTTTTTGGTCAAAAATGACTAAGAAATAAAATTCAGTATTGTAGAATTTGAAAATCATCTCTACCAGTATTATTAAGAAATTGAGATTTAGCTTACTGTTGGATGCAAGTGTAGAAAAACTATAGAACTGGATAATTTAAAAAATGTGAATGTTTATTGGGTCAAATCTGTAAAAGACACTTTCAAGGGTATTTTGATTTATTTTCTAGGTCATAATCTAAATGCTGGTTTCAATTTTAGGAAAACAGATGCCTGTTTAAGAAATCAGGAGGTTGTATGGTGCAGGTAATTGTCAATCACCAAAAAATCAAATGTCAAAGAATGGTTTAAATTGTTTATCTTGTATATTATTCTTACATTTGTATCTCCATTCATTATCAGTAGATAATCGAAGGAATTAGTATTTTGTATACAAATTATATGCTTCAGAAAATGTATTGTAACACATGTTTATATCAGAAATAATAATTCCTTATCCCTATTCAAGACTAGTTTTTATTCATTAGCACATTAATTTTTGAGAATTGAGTTAATTAGTTGAATAAGTCATAGCATTTCATCTTTCATTCATTTCCAATATCATGCCTTGCAGATATGTACTGGCAAAGTTAGAGAGAACTATTAGATCTCTGGCTGTATCAGTGCTATCGAGCAGTGCATCTTCCTCAACTTCTGATGTCTTTCATTTGTTCTTGTTTTAATAAGGAGGAAAACGCACAGTTTAAAAAAAAATACACCTTTATGAAGGAGTTGTCTCTCTTTCTCTGCTTATGTTCATGGCCATGGTAGATAATGTAATTATTGTCCAATTTCCCAGTGAAAGTTAACAATGGAAGGATCACCTGACAAAGACCCACCTACATCAACTCGAACGTCCAATCCGCCAAGTGACAGGTTGGACTTTGACAATGATGATGGTGGTAATGATGCTGCAAATCAGTCCCTTGAGCTCAGTGATGCTCAGGACTCGGACTCAGATGGAGAACTCGAGGAAGGAGAAATTCAGTCCGAGGTGGAAACAAACGACGATGACTCCAGGTCTGTTAGTGAGGTCATAGGTAAAAAAGAAAGTGAAAGTAAGACACCCCATATACCAAACTTTAACATAGTTAAGTGCCAACAATCTTTTAACCATGAGAGTCCCAGTAGTAGTAGCTTGCTGGACTCAAGTACTGATCAGTATAAAACTGAGTCCCCTGACATTGTCCCTGATAGTTTTGACAACAAGAGTGAGGTTGAGTCCAGTGATGGTGAAATATATTCTGCCAGTGAAGATAACCAGGTTAGTGATGTCAAAGAGCAGTCCGATGATTTGTTTGATATGGTGTTTGATTTTAAGTCGTCGGAGAAAGATCAAAGCACTGCAGATTCTCTAGATGATACTCTCACAGAGGATATTGGAGATGATATAGGAAGAAAAAGAAAGCACACTTCAGCTGAGAATGGTGAAAAAAGAAACAGTGATGGATACCCAGCTGCCAAGAAGTCACGAGTCATAAACCAGACAGCATCAGAGGAAGTGAGCTCAGAAGCTGGCACTCTGAATGAGAATGGCTTGACTCACGAGTTTGATGTGATTGATGAGACTAACGAAGATGGGGCAGACAATTTTGACCAGGATGCTGGGGAATACAACAGTGACGAAGATGACCTGGATGACAACGAAATTTACGCATGGCTGGAAGAGGGTGTTAGCAAAAAATCGCTCAAGCCTGAGGATGCAGATGATGGACCATCTCAAAGAGAAAAACTTGTATTGCAAGGTAAAGCATATGAATAAGAAATTATAGTTCACGTTTAATTTTCTACAAGGTGTGATTGTGTTAATTCTATAAACAAACCACATTCCTAGAAAAAACGACACATGATCTGATGGTAATTTTTATATCCTTGCACTTTAAAATGATTTCTGTATTGTATACCTTCACATTTAGTACATTTAGAAATATCCTTTTTTGTCTCAAAAGATTTGACACAGATATTGTGATCACTTTGTTAATCTTTTGTCTGTCAAGTAAAAACTTAACATATAAAAACTAGGATACACCTTAAAAGACAGTCATTTTGAAAGCACTGCATCATTCTGTTTCCTCATGCTTCAAACAGGGATATATTCCCTCAGTAAGATATCGAGAAGTCTTATTTTTGATTTTGCAGAGAAAGGGAGTGATCCTTTTGACATGCTACCAGAGGGTTGGGTGCTGGTCACACATAACAGTGGTATGCCGGTGTATCTCCACAAACAGTCCAGAGTAGTGACATTTTCCAAGCCGTACTTTATAGGGCCTGGGAGTGTCAGGGTAAGATATGAATTGTGTCACACACTGAAATATGTTTACACAATGAATAGTACATGTTAAAAATTATATTTTCAGATAATGTGTATTTAAAAAATTAAAAGTTCCTCTCGGGGGTGTCCTTGATTTATTTTCATTTTGGAAAATTGATGTGGTGTCATACTGTAAATCACTTTTTATTTGCAAGAACTTTATTTTCGTTAATTACACGAAACAGTGTACGCATGAAAAATCATTCTTGTGTATATTAGTATTCCGCAAGATTATATAGAGCAGTAACCGCATTTTGTGAAAATTTTGTCTTGCTAATTAGAAGTTAAGTCTAGACTACCCCACAAAAATAAGGTGTCACCAAAATTTAGGGATCTACAGTATTACGATTTATTTTTGTTTTGTCATCAGATTTGAGAAAACTCAAGTCAACTGAACTTCAGTCATGTTGAAATACTATATATTTCATGTAATTACCTCATAATTCTTTGCATTCATTTAAATTATATTTGATGATTCTGCATTTTAAATGCATCTATTCTGAATCCTTGTGATGCGGGTGTTTGTAAGATACATTTCCATTGCATCAAAGAAGAGCACCTGTTTATTTTGTCAGAAACACAACATTCCTGTGAGTGGCATTCCATGTTTATACTACAGACGGGAGAAAGAGAGGGAAGCTAAACAGAAGGCAGGGAAGGAGACCACGAATACAAGTGACAGCATGTGTAATGGGGAAAGTCACAGTAAGAATTATACACAAATACAAGTGACATCATGTGTAATGGGGAAAGTCACAGTAAGAATTATAAATCTGAAGAAGTACTACCATTTAACTACATGACACATTCTTTCAAGTCAAAATGCTTAAAGATGTATGGTCAGTAAAACATCCTATAGTTGTGCCATGGACAAACAATTTTGATTCAATGGTTAAAGTTATTCTGAATCATTATTTTGGTTCAGAACATTACCTCTGCAAAGGTATGAAAATCACTTCACTGTAAAGTTGAATTCACTTTAAACATATTCTCAATAGCCATATTTTACTACATAGATGTGTTATACTTGAGGTTTGAGTAGTAAATTGGTTAAATCCTCATATTCCTCTTTCATAGAATAGAAACAGATTATGCATGAATAAACCAATAAATAATCACTATTTTCCAATGTATACAATCGATGTACATGTATCTATATCCAGTATGGTAATTATTATTATAAAGATTCATATTTGTATTTCACATGTAAAAACCTTTCAGACACAGAGAATGGTGGAGAGAAGCAGTCTGTTGACGGTTCACAGCCCACACTGGCCAGCCTGCCAGTCAAGATTGAGTATGCTGAGGAGAGAGAGAAAGAAAACTCACTAGGTATTACACAAACTCACTAAACAAACACTGAGGGAGAGAAAGAAAACTCACTAGGTATTACACAAACTCACTAAACAAACACTGAGAGAGAGAAAGAAAACTCACTAGGTATTACACAAACTCACTAAACAAACACTGAGAGAGAGAAAGAAAACTCACTAGGTATTACACAAACTCACTAAACAAACACTGAGAGAGAGAAAGAAAACTCACTAGGTATTACACAAACTCACTAAACAAACACTGAGAGAGAGAAAGAAAACTCACTAGGTATTACACAAACTCGCTAAACAAACACTGAGAGAGAGAAAGAAAACTCACTAGGTATTACACAAACTCGCTAAACAAACACTGAGAGAGAGAAAGAAAACTCACTAGGTATTACACAAACTCACTAAACAAACACTGAGAGAGAGAAAGAAAACTCACTAGGTATTACACAAACTCACTAAACAAACACTGAGGGAGAGAAAGAAAACTCACTAGGTATTACACAAACTCACTAAACAAACACTGAGAGAGAGAAAGAAAACTCACTAGGTATTACACAAACTCACTAAACAAACACAGAGAGAGAAAGAAAACTCACTAGGTATTACACAAACTCACTAAACAAACACTGAGAGAGAGAAAGAAAACTCACTAGGTATTACACAAACTCACTAAACAAACACTGAGAGAGAGAAAGAAAACTCACTAGGTATTACACAAACTCACTAAACAAACACTGTAAATATGTCAAGATTGAGTACACCTAGGAGAGAGAAAACTTGCTCTAGGTATTACACAAACTCACTAAACTAATGCCCTGTTCACACGGAGAGTTTAATTCGCAGTAAATTAATGCGAATTGAAATAATGCGAATTAAATTGCATTCACATGACAGCTAAGTGAAGTAAACTTATGCGAATTCAAATTTTATCTCTTCAAAAAGACTATTCAGTAAGGCTATCATGACGTCATTTGTAAATCACGTCATATATGCAGAGCCATCCATTTGATATAATAATTATAATGGCTTCAGGTAAACATTTAGTGATTACCATACTTTGCCTTGATTTTTGAACCAAATATAGCAGGGATACCTATATCCAACCACCAACATGTGTCCTGTGACTTAATTCTGACCTTATGCATGCGTCAAAATTTAATTCGAATTGGCTTCACTTAACGTTCACATGGAGCTAATGCGAAGTAATTTAATGTGCAGCAAATTAATTTGAAATAAACTAATTACCATTAAATCTCTCCATGTGAATGCTAAGCGAAGCTAATTTGCAGTAACTTTAAGTAACTTTAAGAAAACTCACTATATGTTAAAAACACTCACTAAATGAACCCTTAGAAAATCTCAAGATTGAGTATGTGGGGGATAGAGAGAAAGAAAACTTGTTAGGTATTAAATAACTCACTTAAAAACAGAAAAAAAATCTAAAGATTCAGTATGCAAGGGAGAGAGAGGATTAAACAAACTATATATTAAACACACTCACAAGACAAACAGTGATAAAATCTCAAGATTGAATACACAGAGGAGAAAAAGAGGTGTTAAACACTAAATTTAAAAAAAAAGAAAGGTCTTACTATAAATTAGTGCATTTGAAGCCATGTTAAAGTAGATGACAAAAATGTTCAAATGTGTCTTTAAAAAGAATATGTTAAAGCATTTAATTTGAAATTAAAATGACTGTTCAAAATTCGTTTTTCAGCACATTTGCTTTTTACTGTATTACATATTTTACAGAGCCTGAGGAACTAAGAAAATACTGTGAATCTCTGTTTGAATTTAGAAAAATCACTGTCAATAAATTCAAGTAAGTTTGTTGGAACAGTATTCAATATCTTACTTTTAATAGTCCATATTAGACTGTAAAGCAAACAAATTAAATAAAATTTTTGGTCCTTTTAGAATAAATGATGGTACTTTTTTCTCTCTACAATGTTTTTCTCTCAGAATCTTTGTACTTTATGAAACATTTGTTGAAAATTGGTATAATTGTATTTTAGAACATGGAAGGACAGGAGAAGACATTTAAATAATGTTAAAAAACAGTCCCGACCTGCACTAGTAAGTAGATGTACAAGACTCATCTTTACATCCTATTTTTCCCCCAGCCCTCACAATAGTATTAAATATTCTTCTTTATGAAAGATATGCTTAATGAGAAAAAGTATGCAATTTGCTTTCCAGTGCTGTTGTAAATTTTACAGAACTGGATAGAAAGAGAGACCCATGAGGTGCTCAGTTTCTGTTTGTGTATTTTGTATATCTTTTTTACAGCCCTCCAACACCAAATTGATTACTTGTAAAGTCCCAGCGGAGAAAGGAGACCACAAACCAAGGAAGAAAGGTAAAAGACGCAAAGAGGAAACGTGTAAAACAAGTCCAGCATTTTGTTTATTCATATCTGTATACTTGTATTCTGTTTGTGTTTCAGAGTTTGTATTGAATCCAACAGGGAAATCCTATGTTTGTATTCTCCATGAATATGCTCAGCATACACTGAGAGTGCAACCTCGTTATGTTTTCAAAGAGCTTGGTAAGTTCTCAAGGAAAACCATGAATTACTTCATGTGAGAAAGTTCGATAAAGTCGGACCTTTTAAATGTCCCAAACTTGATAGGACTGAGAAAAAACTTCCAAGACGTCAAAGGACGCAAGAATATAGAACGTAAAATGCTTAAAGACAAGTGGTTAGTAATTCCAAACTACAGCTACACAGCTGTGTATTAGAGATATTGGTGTACAATATACCGAAATTCAGCTGTATATTTTATTTATAACTTACATGTAAGAAAACAGATTTTGCAACATGTAGAATGATCAATAACATATTATTGTAAATGATTAATAGAGAATGAAAAATAATTTTTTTTAAACAATCTACTGAATGAGGACAAACATTTGCATTTTTTTAATTGCAGAAAATGCCCAGAATCCTTACAGTGCTACAATTATCATTAATGAGATTGAGTATGGTACAGGATTTGCTGGCAGCAAGAGGGCAGCTAAAATGGAAGCAGGTATGTATTGATATGGCTAATGAAAGAGTTGATAATCAAAAGAACATCATTAATAGACTGTAAACCAACTTTTATTTGCGATGACTTTATTTGACCACTTACTGGGGATAAACTGGCGATCAATTTTCGCGATCAAGCCTATTTTGGATCTGTTGTTAAGAGGCACGAAGACTTTAAGGACCGGTTCAGAAATATTCGTGATGACGGAGCTCTCACAAAAATTTCTCTCACACAAATAAAAGTTGGTTTACAGTAAGCCTTTATGGTGTATAGAAGTTTAAAGTAATGTTTATAATGTTGTAGCTAAAGCGACACTGAGTATTCTGATTCCTGAAATGTCGAAGTTAATAGAGAAACAAGTGGAGGATGAGGAAGATCTCTCAGTACGTGTGCACTCACTTCATGTATACTTGTTTGACCACTTATTATTGACAGACTAATCCTGTAGAATTTGATTGGAAGTTTCAGTTTTACAATCTTTTCTTTTAGTTTTTCGATGATATTAAAATTGAGGACCCAAGAGTTTACGAGTTGTGCAATAAATCAGGTCAACCTAGTCCATTTCAGATATTACTGGAGTGCCTCAAGAGGTATATGGCTTTCTTTGTAAAATCAAGGCAATAACCTGTATTTACAAATATTGATGATCATGAGTTTGTTTCCTATTTGCATTATATTCATTTTTAAACAAAAAAAAAATATACATGTAAATAATATTAAGTTGAATTATTTTTACTAGGAATTACGGCTTAGGTGATACACAGTGTAAAATAGACGTCAAAACTTTGAAACACCAGAAGAGTGAATACACTCTAACTGTTGGAAAACACTCTGTTACGGTAAAGTAGTAAAAAGCAGTAGTTTTATTTATTTATAAAAATGTTTTAGTAGTCATTCAGATGTGTACTAATTTAAACCAGAACTTTTCTGAGCAATGATTGATTGATTACTGTTTAAAGCTGAATCGACAATATTTCAGCCAAACTTTGGCATAAATGATGAGTAAAGATGTCTCAGCTGACTTAAACTAATATACTGAAAAACAATACATGTATACAATTGTACATTTGCTTTTCTTTCAGGTTGTGTGTAAAAATAAAAGAGAAGGCAAACAGAGTGCTGCTCAAGCTATGTTAAAGGTAAGAGTCTTGGATGTAATTATGCTTTCACTCTTTATAAACTTTAATTCATCTGATGGACATGTTCTTGCTGAAATAATGTAAAAAGTCAAATTAATCAAAAGTGAAGGGCTGAATTGTTCATGGAAAGTATTGGTTGCACAATATCTTGAGAACCTTGTACTTTTCACAGCAACTTCACCCCCATATCTACAGTCTTGGTGCTCTATTGAGGTTGTATGGAAGGTCTTCCTGGAAAAGCGTCAAGGAGAAAAAGGTCACTGTATTTAAATGCTTTATTAATTTCATCAGTCACTGCATGGCCTACTGGAGTAATTTTAATACATGTAAATCATTCCTTAAAAAAATAAGTAAATTATAGGGAAAAAATGGTATCTCTATTTAAGGAATGTCTTGTTTTACTTTTGGCTCCAAAAGAATTTTTTTTATACCCCCGCAAACGAAGTTTAGGGGGGTATATTGGAATCACCATGTCCGTCTGTCCGTCTGTCTGTCTGTCTGTCTGTCTGTAGACAAGATTTTGTCCAGACCGTTTCTCAGAAACTATTGGATGGATTTGTCTGAAAATTTGTACACTTATTATTCACCATATGAAGGTGTGCACCTGGTATTTTCATCATGATTGGATGATTTTTCTGCATTTTACAAGCATTTTTTCTTTTTTATTTTGTTGTTTTGTTTGGCTCATAACTAGAAAACTATTAGACTTACAATCATCAAACTTGGCCAATTTATGCATCTTGGGTAGAAGGTGTGTCATGACCTATTTCAAGGTCACTGTGACCTTTAATTAAAGTGAAATTTAAAAAAATAACTGTCTTTTACTATTGAATTAAACAATCCCAATAAATGTAACAATGTTGCAGTATCCCTATTTAAAACATGTTAAATTAAGAAAAATTTTTTTTCATTATATACTTTACAGCAATCTATATTAACAAATGTTATTTTATAAGAGAAAATCTACCTCTCCCAAGGGTATAATTATGAAACACTGGTCAAGGAGAATTTTGATAACAGAAAATTGCATGTCAAATTAGAGAGAAATTAATTAGTTTACTGTAAGGAGATAACTTGTAGAATGTTTCCGATCAAGAACTTGTTATCTGTCTCTTGGGAACTGGGCTAAGGAATCAGCCTTAAATAGTTTTAGCCTAACTTATTTAATGAATTTGAGAAAAAGCAACTTCAATCTAATTTGATATTGTATAATAAACTAATTTGAAATTGTATAAAAAACTTAATTGATATTGTATAATATAATTAAAACTAATTATATTGTGTGTATGTGGGGGTGGGTTGGGGGGGGGGGGATTGGAATCAGCATGCTCATTCTCCACATTAATTTCAGATTGAAACTTTTAGTATGATATAAAATCCAGATAAGGCAAAAAAAAAAATTAATTTCTTGGTTCTCAGGCCCTCCCTTATCTCTTCCAAGGGTGCCTCATTGACCCTTTTTATTGCTAAATCAATAAAATATAAACACCAAATCACCTCCCTCATCATTTTTTGAGGTTTTGTGCAATGTAAAAAGCTGCCTCTTCATGTTTTGGGGGCATTAAAAAAGTATTAAAAAAAATGCCTCCCTCCCTCATGATATTTCTTGAAAATAGGCCTGAGAACCAAGAAATTAACTTTGCATGGCCTAAATCAAGTATTAAAAAAAAAAAAAAAAAAAAAAAAAAAAAAAAATTTGGTAGATAGTCCCTACAAATCTTAAGAATCATGCAGGAACCTTATTCAAAATGATGCATTAAGATTACACAATTTTTTTTCAGTATAATCTTTGTAACAAATTTATACAAAATCTTTGTTTTTCAGATTTAATTTCAGAATGACACATGCAATAATGCATTTTGTTTGCACTACAAAGGAGAAGGTTAAGATCCATTCATCCCTTGATAGCAATTAGTGGGCATGCATCCAGTCAAAGATTAATTAATGAGTTCTATGTAGGGAAGCATAAGCTGTCTCAATCATTTCTGTTAGAGCATATCTCTGATTAAGGAGCTCTTATCTGTGTCCTTTGGGAATTAGACAGAAGAACTGCTGGTCAGTTTAAATAGCATTTGTCATATGATGGCCAGTCTCCTATTTCTAAAATCAATTTTGTATGGATCAAGTTTTTAAGACATATTAGTTAAATTGATTTTTTTTTTTTTTTTTTTTGAAAATATCAAGTGACCAATTTCATATCTTCATGCCCCACATGAAAGACATGTGCATATGTGTATGTCTGTGGAGGAGGGGCATTTGTCAAGCTATAATACAACCAGTTGATGATTATTTGTTATAATTAAAGCTTGCACCACAGGAGATGTTTAAACAATTATTATAAGGAATGGAAAAATTACGCAAATCCCTTTAAAGGTTGACATGATTTTCTTGCACTCTAAACTGTTTATAATAATTGAATGAACAATATTTGATGGGAGTATCATGCTGAGGCGGTGCACTTTATTATTTTTAAAATGAATTTGATATAAATTTATATAGATTAATTTGATTCTGTATAATGTTTTTTTTCAATAATCAATTTGCAGAGTATCATGACAAATAGTTGCAATTTATTTTTTCAATGAAATAAAAAAACTGTTACAATGTATTAGTATTGGTGTTTTATTTGGTTGCACCTCAGTTTCATTAATTAAAAAAATATATATAATGAGCACTCAAATTTTTTCTAAGAAAATAGTGAACACCTCTTAATAGATCCATAAATATTTGTGAATTTGCACCTACTCTGAAAAACCCAGCGGGGGTATTTGTCCCTATTGGACAGTTCTAGTTCCATATGTGTTTAATATGGTAATTAATAGCAATGATTTGAAATTTGAATAGTAACAATAATTTTGTTATCCTAAAAGGAGGATTAGCTGAAACATTGACCATTTCATTTACAACTTGGTGTGTATTGTAGAAAGAGGAACATGCTATAACTGGATTACAGTCCCAAGTCCGCTCCAAGAAACCAAATGAACCTCTATTACAAAAGTTAAAGGAAGAAATGATGAAAATCCAAATCCAAAGAGTAAGTTCAAACTTTTCAAAATTGAAAGTATTTCTGCTCATCAGTAATGATTATACATGTACCATTTCATTTACATGTTATAAATTTTATCGCTCTAAAGTTTTATGTTCGAAATGCATGAAATATATTTTGTTATTTGCAGGAATCGGTCAAAACCAAGGGGAAGTTCCGTGTGGATACAAAGACTCTGTCTGGTGCTGTGACCTGTATAGACCTCTAGAGTTGTCTGCTCTTGTTCCCATTTATGGGACCAAACATCCACAATGCACAATTCTAATTATTGCTTATTGGTGAAGCTTGGTCAATGAAAGACTGTGATTTTTTTGATAGAATTTATTCCCATTAGATTTTTTCAAATTAATTATACAAGTGTATGTAACTGGTCTTGATGGATGTATTTGTGCTTATACTTTATTGGAGTATTCTATTTAGTATTTATTTCAATAATATTTAAATATTGATTGTCCCAATCAAATTTTTTGGTGATTTTTTCATGTGAATTAGTGATTGAGGATAATGGTAAATGTAGATGTGTGCATAAATGGTGAGTAAGCAATTCCTATGTGAGATTAAATTTTTGTATACATGTACCATATTTGGTATTGGGTTTTCAGTATGTTTAGTAGATATCTTCCATTATATTAGGGAAAACATTGTGGTCTTGAGACATTGAATATGTTCAACCATATGTAAATATAAAATGTGTATCTAATCTATTTTGACTTTGCATGTATGAAGTTTTGTACTTTGATAAATGTGATTTTAATGTGGTATATACCTGTCACAATATTCTAATTAAGTCCAGATTATAAAAATCCATGACACAGAAAAGGCATTCCATATTTGATTTTTAATGAAATTATTTTGGATATCAGATTATTAAAAATTGGATCTGTAATTTTTTTTGTCACTGTGCTGATTTGTTTTATTTATGCTTACACATATAAAAAGTTTTCCTCTCCAGAATCTAAAATTTTGGAAAAAGATAATCATTTTTTTTTTTTCAAATTAAGATTTATATATCCTCCCACACAAACACAGAAAATGAATTTCAGAAATTTGAACAATTTAATTAAGCTATCTATCTAAAAGGGGAATGGTAAATAAGTGACATATTACCATTATTACTGACAGTTCTTACAGCGTTTAATAACAAAAGTCAGTGAATCTCTTTGTGAACTCTACTGCTCAGAGACTAAAAGAGCTTGTTCATTAGTCAGATGTCCTTCCATCCTGAAACAAGTTTTCTAAATGCTAATCCAGTACTATTGGTCCGATTTCAGTAAGTACACACAGGATATCGGCATGTAGGTTATAATGATACATAATTATATGATTGGTTTCTGTCGCAATGAACAATGTTGTCATGGTTACTAAGAAAGAATAGAAATTTTGGTTATTTTTTTCTTCAAAATGAAAGCAACTCCTCTTCCAGTTGTAGTCTGATATCAATAAATTTATTTATGCAAAAATAGATCTAATTTAGAAATACAATTTCTATGAATTGGATGTAGATTTTGTTAAACAGTGTTGCTTTGGTAACTAATAACTCATGACTAAGATACAGAATGTGAGGAAAAGTGTTGCTATGGTTTCTCAAACAAAACAAAAAAATGTAATATTCTTTCAAAACACTACTGCAATTCTGATCAGTTTTCAATGAAATTTGGTATACATTGATATTCTTTCGAAAGCTGTAATTTTAGTTAGATTTCACCGAGACTTGATACAATGGCAAGTATTCATTGATTCAAGATTATACCTGTTTGTAATTCCATTTGACAAAATTGATATTACATGTAAATCAGCAAGATTACTGTATGTTAAAAACTACCATATCAAGATTACCTATAATCCATTGTACATGTGATCAAATCTAAACAGAATAAACTGTTTTTGATTACTTCCAAATTATTTCATGGTTTTTCATATTTCTTATAAAAAGGAATTCTAAATACAAGTACAAGTAATCTGTTTTCAAAGTGCTACTAGACCTAATCCAACTGGCAATTTTTCACCAAAAAGTGCTGCTATTACTATAAAACTACTTTCCTACATCAAGATAGATACAAATGTAATAGATTGTTTCTACTTTTAATGAACAGATGAATAATATTGTGCAAACAAAATACAAACACCCAAAACAAGAGAAACAACATGATTTTGTGAAAAACTGATAACTCTATGAGGAAGGTGAAAGTCTACCAAATGCAAGTAACTCCGAGATCAAGTTCAAGATATCAAAATTGTTTGTGCCCAAATGAAGATCTTGCCACAAGAAAAACAATGTGGCTAATCCTTCAAAATTTATACTAAGCCAAGGTTAAAGTTTATAAAAAATATTGAGTAGGTCAAACTTCAAGGTCATAGAGTTAAAATTGTAGGTTCCAAGGAAAAACCTCGCAAGAAATACATGTGTATAAAAGGCAGTGCATCAAAAGTCGGTTAATGTTAATGTCGGTGAAATTTAGCAAAAGTGCCCCGAATCGCATGAGCAAAAGATTAAATATGTTGGTATACTCGAAGAAAGGTCTTGTCACAAGGAATGGCGTCCGGGTGTCTGAAGGTCCACTGTACATAAAACCATTTATGGATTTCAGATATGATTCATGTTAATTTCTGTGAAATTCTTTTAAAAAATTCTATTTTTCTTCAAAATTGCGGGATACATGTTTCAAACAAAAAAGTAAAACATAATTTTTGTGTTTTTTGTGTACATACACTTAAATAATTTAATTTTATGTAACAGCATTTGATTGGTAAAAGATTTTATCCATTTTGTAAAAAAGCCTATGTCGCAATGAGTTGTCAAAAAACGTTTCTTACTTTTAAAATTTAATCAAATGAATGTGAAGCCTTATTCTGGGGGGAAAAGTCTCATTGTCTGCTGAAATAAAATTATAAGAAATGAAAACTTATAATACGATATAACAAAAAATATAATTATTTATGGCTTAATTAAACTGGAATAAAATTAATACCAGACTGCAAAATAATACAAATATGATAATTATTTTTATAGCAGGAATAAAATACCGAATAAAAAATGTGACATCACACTGTAAGAGGTATTCTACGTAATCTTCTTTCCCGTTTACGTCGTCATAAGCTACGCTTAGTTTACACTGACGTCACAATTGAGCTGCAGTGTTGTCATAGCATTATTTTATACTTGAGGGGCCATAAGGATATTCACAATGTGGCGAGCTCAAACTCAGCGAGATCCGGCGGATGAAATGATGGACGAGATGTCACAGAGCGCGGAGCTTCTCCGACTCCAGCGGAAACTCCGGGTGATGGAGAACGACCGGCGAGCGTACGAGGAAGAGTCCCAAAATCTCCTCAGAAAACAAGAGTAAGAATTAAAATTGAAAGAATTGAAAATATATATATATATTATAATAATTATTATAAAGATGATTATACCTTCAAAATTATCTTAAAAGGTACTTCAGACAAAAATTAATTTTTAATAATAAAATTATGTACAACTTTTTAGAAGTTGAATGCTGTCGGGAACAAATTTATACTCACGTTTGTCCATTTCATTTTCAACATGTTTTTCAAATGCAAATTCAATTTTCACACACAAAAAATAACCTTGAAGGAAAATTATCAACATGTTATTTAACAAGAATAATATTAGGTTCCATAAAAAACACAATGTACCAAAAGTATATGCAGTGATTTTAAAAAAGTTTGAGTTACTTGTTTCATATATTGGAAGGAGTGAGATAGAATCACTTTTGAAAGAAAATATCGAGATCAGAACTGTCCTGAAATTGGCGAATAGTGACAAAAACAGGACAATAGATATGCAGGACACAGACCGCCTTGTTGATCTCTTGGAAAACCTGGATATTTACAATGCTCAGGCGGATGCTGAGGAGGCGCGGATCAAAGAACTCGACGAAGAGGTGAGATTGGTAAAATATGTAGCTCTAATATAAATGCAATCTATGTTTACTTCAAATTAAAATAGATAAATAATCATATTGCCGTTTATTATGATTTTTTATTTCCATGTATAAATGGAAAATAAAATGTATGGTATATACGTATGTAATGTATGTGTTGTAAATACATGTAAATTAAAATTGGTATGTTAATTACATTATAGTACATAAAAGTATTTAATTAATCAGCATGTGAAGTATCTTGACATATTGTTTCCGTAGATAAAGGCCCTTGACCATAGCATCACATCGTATAAAAAACAAAAGGGTGGGGTAACCGAAGCAATGGAGGAAAAGGCCATTCAAAAGACGCTAAGAATAATGGAAAACAGGCTGGATAAGGTAAGGAAGGAAAAAAGGGCTGATAGATTAAAAAACATTACAGATTATAGGAAAACAGAGTGGATAAAACGAGGAGGAAAAGGCCAAATTTAAAAATAAACGTTTTGAATATTGCGAAAAAAAATGCAGTACGTAGGAAAAGGCTACTCATAACATCAAGGATAACAGAAAGAAGTCTGGAACATGTGGAAGGTAAAAAGGCAAATCCAAAAAAACCTTACAGAAAAAGAAAACAGATAATTTGACGGATAATAATTTAGGAAGGAGGAAAAGAGGAAAAGAGCCAATCCAAAAAAAAAAAAAACTTAAGGAAAAAGAAAACAGAATGGACAATTTAGGAGGAAAGAGGAAAAGGCCAATCCAAAAAAACCTTAAGGAACAAGATGTGTTTGTGAAAAACTGTGCGCCCGGCGGCAACAAATTCGAAAAAGCTATTTTAAGCATATAGGTCACAGTCAAGGTCACAAGGTCATTGACTTTGGTGTCATTTGAAAGAACTTGTTTAGTGGAGTATGCATATCAAATATGAAGTATATATCTCCAAAGTTATGGTTAAACTTGACAACAGACAGACAAACAAAGAGATAAACAGACACAGACAGGACAAAAACAGTATACGCCCCGGATCTATATAGATCCGGGCGCATAAAAAGAAAACAGAATGGATAAGGTAAGGACGAAAAGGCAAATCCATGAAACCTTACGGGAAAAAAAACAGAATGGATACTTAAGGAGGAAAGAGGAACAGGCCAATCCAAAAAAACTTTGGGGAAAAAAAACAAAATGGATACTTTAGGAACAGGCCAATCCAAAAAACCTTAAAGAAAAAGAAAACAGAATGGATAAGGTAAGGACGAAAAGGCCAGTAAAAAAAACCTTACGGAAAAAACAGAATGGATACTTTAGAAACAGGCCAATCCAAAAAATAAAAAAAAAACCTTAAGGAAAAAGAAAACAGAATGGATAAGGTAAGGACGAAAAGGCCAATAAAAAAAACCCAAGGGAAAACGTTACGGAAAAAGTAAACAGAATGGATAAGGTAAGGAGGAGAAGACCAATTAAAAAACGTTATGGATAATGAAGGGGGGGGGTTGCAATAAGAAAAACAATGTTATGGATAACAGATTAAAAAAAGGTAAGGATGAAAAGGCTAATGGTAATCAAACTCGATAAGGTTAGGAGGAATAAGTCATCCATGAAACAATACGGGTGATAGAATTAGGACTGCATGGATGAAGTACCGGTGAGTATAAAAGGCAATTTGAAAATTCTTGGTAAACAGTGAACGATAAGGATTGGATAAGGTACATGTACTAGTAAAGAAAGTAAATTATATACACTTAACAAAACTTCTAAGTGTTCACTTTTATAATGTATTTATTTAAAAACTACTTTGTGGAATGGTATGATATTTTCAAACTATTACAACAAATGAGTCCTCTCAACAATTGTAGCAAGAAAAATAAATATCACCGATGAAAACCAATGATCCATGACGAACCTTTTAAACAATAAATCCGTACTTTGTGGCACGTGTTTTGTGTAATTAGTAATTTTTTGTGATCATTGTCAAATTTTAAAAACCGGTTTCACTAAAAAGCACAAAACATTAGCAAAATGACCATTGAGAAAGAAGGAAGAGCCGTTAGAATGTTGATATCTGGACCATCTTTGCACCACGTTTTACTAACTTTTATTTCAGTTTTTTAATTGTCCTTGATATTACTTTTAAAAATTAACAACCCGTATCAAAACCCATTTAAACACATTTTTTGATAGGCTGTGCGTCTTTTTTCATCGCCAATTTATCACAATTTGAAAGTTTTTGACAAAATTTAACCAAACCGGAAGTGACTTTGTTCTTCGTCTGAGGCCAAAATTTTGAGTCACACCAGATTTAAAGACAGTTTAATTGTCCTGAAACAATCTTAGAAACATGAAAACAAAAGAAATCAATCGTATGAAAATGATAACGTATGAAAAAGAAATCGGTGCTTGTGACAGTCTAATATTAGCTCATATATTTCTATCATCCTTAAAACTTACGTGATAAACGTCCAAGGATATTGACCGAAAGACCTCTATGTGATGATGTATCTTCAGATCTCCAGATCTGAATCCCATTGAACACATTTTTGACTTTTATAAGAAATTTTATGCCCCCCTTTCTACTTAATTTCAACGGTTTGGAAAAATCTAGGCAGTAGGTGTGGCAGCAGATGGGTCAATCTCATATTCAGGGGTACATTGTATCCAACAGTAAAGTATGTCTTGCAGTTATAGAGCAAATGGTGGTCTTACTCCAAAGAAATATCTGTCTGTGAGTTTTCATTTTGAGGGTACATCATTTCCCTGACACTTTGCTAAAAATTCTGACGAGATACTTTTAAGGACAGACGAGACGTTCCTTAATAATAGATAAATTTTTCTAAGAATTTGTCATTGTAGTTTAGCTACTTAAACATGTTTACTCACAAAAAATTGAGATACCTTACCAGGCATTTCTGCAAGATATCTGGGGTAGTTTTTCTTATATAATCCTTTGGGGAAGAAAAATAATTTTCCAATTTCAAATGTTAAAGTGTTTGGATTTTTTAAAAACGTTTAGAAACT